TAGCCCAGAGAGTGACTCTGACCATCATATTGCTTGTTGGCCACTGTCTGGCATCAGTTTGGGGGTAGCACAGCTCCTGCTTACTGGGTCAGGATTATTCTTTGTCATGGAAAACCCTAAATTCCACTTATTCCTTTGCTCAAAATACATCAGTTAAGGACTGTAAAATTGAGAACATTATTAAAAATGCACTTGTTATTAGAATTCAAATAGCATTAGTGTCAACCAAGGTCAATTGGAAGGAAATCTGTGTCTTAGTATTAACTGAAAAAAGATGTTAGCAAATCAGTGATTTGCTAGCTGAAATTGTGGTAACTTGTTTTTCTCTCTTAGTGAGAAGAGAGTTCAGCCAGGGAGCAGTGATAGCACAGCGTGGGGCTGTGGTGGCTGTGGGCAGGAGGTGAAGGCTGCAGCCAGAGCAGTCAGACTCTGCTTTCTAGAACTTTTTATACCTCTATAGCCCATTTTGAGAAAAGAAATAGTGATTTGGCAAGCACTGGGAGACAGAGATGTGGCACAATAAACATCCCAGTGGGGAACTGGTGTGCAAGCTACTGTTGGAACTCCTTTTTTCCAGCATGGTCATCAGCAAAAAATCATCCTTAAAACAGTTGAAACCTCTAATCTAGACCTAAAACTGTTAAAATCCCCATTGTTCCATCTTTCATTAGCTAGGGTGAATTGCAGCTCTCCTGCCACTGCAGAGCTCTGTAGAATAGAGCAGCAGCACCTCAGTTAAATACAAAATATCAAGGTAAATGTCTGAATAAAATATCCAGGACTCAGACAAACTTCCAAAACCTGCTTGTCAGCAGTGAAATGCCATTAAATCCTCTAGGAACTCATTAATAGATTAACATTTGGAAGAGTAATTACAGCTACATTAGTACTAAGAAGAAAGAAAAATAAAGGCAAATCCAGCAGCATCATTTCTTTAAAGCCTTGACATGAAATGAAGATCAATACTATAAAAAAAAGGGGTGAGGAATTAAAGTTGAGATGGTTATGTCAAAAATAGGTAAGCTGTTCATATATATCTCAAATAAAACCAGCGTGGATGCAACTGTTATGTAGTGTTCCATGTTATTGGTGTGGAATTCTCCCTCAGAGGGGATAGGAAAGGGATACTGAGGTGAAATCAAGGATGTAGCTGGAAATTGGGTGAGTCGATGACTTCAGTGCTGTTAACGTAAATCACAACTAAAATTAACAATGTCAAGCTTTGTAGCTACATTTTCTGAGGCAGAGCAAGACACTGATCTTTAGTGAGACAAATATATTACCCTTCAAGAGGATTAAATACTGCAAAAGTCCTTTTTGAGAATTTATGTTCCAGCTCTGTAAAGGGAAGAAGAAAGATAAGATAAAGTAGGTACTGTAGGCAGATAAATAGGTGAGATCTTGAGAAATGTTTTCATTTTTCATAAAATTCTCACAATCTGTAAATTTTTTATATCTGATTCATTACAGAAGAACCTGCAATATGAATCTTGCAAATTTATGAATAGGAATAAATACAATTGGAGAAAATACTGCTTTGTGTAGAAATGCTGCTCTAATTTTGTGAGTGCACCTAGTGTGGAACCAGCACTGTCCTGGAGGGGGGATGGAGGATAAAGTACAGGAAAAGTAACAAGGTTGTAAAATACAGAGATGACAAATAAAATGAAGTCATCAACGTGTAAAAAAAAAATGTTAAGGTTTTAGATTTGCTATTTTCCTATTTAAATGCCCTCATTGATTTGTTACAAATACTGTTAACCCTGTGTTTGGAAAATGGTGAGGACATTATCACTTGTGTTCTCATTTGTAATAAAATAGATTAACTTGCTGTGAAATTTTAACTAGGCTGAGACACAACAGTAGCTACCTAATGAACCAGAGCACATTGCTGTTAAGTAGCTAAATAGATGCATACTGATTACAGGACTGAAAAATGGATCTGTTTACTAGCAAAAAAGTCTCTTCATGGTGTTACTCGTGAGAGTGGGGGAAATTCTGCACCACATTTCCACACAAACATGTAGAAATAGACAATTTCTTGGTCCCTATTCAGCCTTACAAGATGATACTCTGTCCTCATTCGTAGCTTGTGTGATACAGAGAGAATTTCAGCTCCTTTGTTGCTTACAGGGAAAACTGTTTGTTTCCTGTGTGTGTAAATCTGTGTAACTGGTATGACATTAGATGATGTAATCAACTAATTCTCTTAGAAAGTGATTTGCTCTGTGATTAAGAATGACATTATTTGACACTTATTTCTGCCTGAGCATTTCTAACCAAGAACCTGAGTTTGAAGGCAAATTGCTCGAAGCAGAGATTATTTTACAGCAGGAGACAATGGGAAATGCAGTTACCAGAAGGAGCTCAGAATACTTTGCTTTTCCAAATCATCAGCTTTTGAATTACTCAAATAACTCCCATTTAAGATGACATATATGGCTGTTTGTGTGGTATCTAAGTGTTAATTCATAGTCATATTTGTTCCTAGGTTTTCTTTGCAGAACAGTTGGCATGTCCTCTCCTTGGCTATTCATTTTCATGGTTGCAATAGACAATGAAATTTACTTAAACTATGCACTCTTCAGTAAAATTAATCATTTCAAAATGATATCCTAATTGTAAATGGAGTGCTCTTTGCGGTAAAAAGAGAGGAAATAGTGCCAACGAGGACTGTTAGCTGAAATCCAGGCAAATGAAATTACAGGCAGAGTTGTAGCCTGTTAGCAGGAACCTGTTTGGAATCCATTATTTACACAAAGCTGAGAGACACACAGGATTTATCTGCTCAGGATTGCGTGTGTATGATTCCTCATTATTTAGGAGAATATTTGGAGTAAGAAGGTGACTTTTAAAAGCTCCCACCAGAGCAAGCAGCTCATCAAGAGAGTCCTGACTCTTGTTCTCTCTTCCATTCAGCTCAGCAAGCTCTATACCCTCTCTTTTGGAGACCCAAATGAAGAAAGCACTGGAGACTTAGAGTCTAGTAGTTGGACTAGATGATCCTCAGGGGTCACTTCCAACTCTGATTATTCTGTGACTTTAAGATCAGTGACTTTGACTTTTTGCCCACAGAATTTGAAAATTTGTTTGTATAACCCCATTAAGTTTTCCAAATTCTATGACCTTGTGACTCAACATAATAGGCTCATACCTGTTAAATACCACCACTCAAAAATCCTGCAATTAAAAGTCTCCATTCAGAATTTATTGGTTATTGTATGTTCGTTAAATAGCAAATGAGTGAAGCAGATCCATGGAGGACTAGCAGCTATGTAATAGATACACATCTGTTCCATGATTCTGAGGCTCAGTTGTTACTTAAAGTACAGTAACAACCCTATTAAAACCACATCCCATGCCACACTTTCCACTGGTGTGACTGGGACAGGGACACACCATCCCTTACTCTGAGGAGGATCTAATCTCACGTTCCCTTTGCAACACATCTTTGTAAATACAAAGATGAGTTTGCTTAGAGAGATGGATTTAATAGGTAACAGAATATTCTTGTTGATCTTGCTGCCAGTGTAATTAATTAATTGCCCCAATACATTGTGACCAGCAGCTATTACATCAGCTATTCCTAATGGAAAGACTATTAGAACTACCATTCTCATCCCAAAGCTTCGTTATTGGTTTAGGATATGATCTAGCAAACTGCATTAAAAGTTCAGATGCTGCTGAGTTTGTTTTGAAAAGCACACAGTGAGTTGCCACCAAGCAGCCAGATTGCATGTTCCTAATGAAACATCTTTAGAATGGCTTAGAAAGGCGGAAAAATTACAAAGTTCCTCTGAGACAGCTTGCCCAGATGACACTGTAATTGTGACTTTTTAATGAGGTGGGGGCAAGCGAATCTCCCTTTTTAAGACAAGAAAATAATATTTCAGGTCTGGGTTTCCACAGGGAGCAGCTGATTGCCAGGGATGGGGACAGCTACAGAGATGCAGTTCTGGAGGTCTGTAAATCTGCTTTGTCCTCTTAGCATCTCTCACTTGGAACTGCACCTTGAAGGACTTTGTAACAGAGGGTTTAAAACTTAGAAGGGATTTTAAGAGTATCTCAGGCCATGATCTGTCCCTTTCAGAAGATTCTCATGGTTTGTGGGTCCTGGGACCAGGACTGAAGGCTGCTGGAGTTTGTACTTAATGCAGGAAAAGTATCCATGTGGAAGCACTGGGCTGGAAGGGATCTCAGGTGGTCTTACAGTCTCCTGCCTCAAAACAGGATGAATTATGACTTATGCCATGCTTGTCTAACCTGTTCCCAGAGATTTTTAGTGATGAAAATTCTGTTGCATCTACAGGCAATTTGCAAGTCTAGATAACACAGCTGCAGAATTTCATTCTGCTAATTTATTTTTCTTTTTTTTTTTTAAACTTACCTCAAGGACTGTGTGTATTTCAACGAGGGGTTGATATCTAAGTTTGATGTGCAAATATACACATGCAAATTTGCAAGCACACTCTTGTTTTGGTTAGCCAGTGGTGTTTCTCATGCAAGAGTGAAGTTCTTACCAGTGCCACATTTGTCTGGGTTCTGCCCTGAGAAAATATTGATCTGATTTATTCATGTACAGATTTTAGTGAGTTTACAAATTTGACTGCATTAAGTGACAGTTTAGTCCAACTCTAAATTGTTTATTTGAAAGGTGAGTCATATATGCCAATTTTACTACCTGTAGATTAAAAGAAGTTTGGGAATGCAACATGAAAGAATATCCTGTATGTTCCTGTGTGTGAAAAAGAAAATAAAAAGTTACCGACAAAAAAAAAAAGGGTGGCAAAAGATGAAAAGCTAAGCTCAGACACATTGCATGGAGCAAACTCAGCTCTTTGGCTGTAGATGATTCTACTGCTCTTAAGAGTTGAGTTCTGCTCACTGTTTGTCTTAGACCATTTATTGCTGCTGTTTGAAGCCAGCTTAATTTTTTTCGTTGAACTTCAGTGAAGTGCATGAGTCGAATTGCACAGACCTTGTTTTCCTTCTGTTTCAAGGAAAGGATTCAAGACAGCCCTTCTCCAGCCCCATCTCTGGAGGACAGCCAGCGGCCGGGGAGCCACGCGTCCTCCCACCAGAGCAGCAGCGTGTCCAGCTCTCCGTCCCAGCTGGACAACACTCCAGACAGAATTGGTTAGTGCTCTGCAGCTCACACCTCTGCACCTCTGGCCTCCAGGCCTTGGGAAGTTTGTTAGCTGTGAAACTCAGGAAAGCACTCTCTGGCTAAGAAATACCCAGAACGTTCATCACTAGAGTTTGTTTTGTTAGATTCTACACTCTGCAAAGCTCAGTTCCCTCAGATTCTTCCTGTGCCAGTACCACCCGTGCGCAGGAGGTATCAGCCCTGCTCTGGTACAACCAGCTGCTCTGGCATGCTGGGGTAAGAAAGTGCTTCTGAAGGCACCTGGAATTGGAAAAGAGCAAGATATCTTTTTCTTCATTTGTATGGGAGGAAAGTCACACATTCTGTGATGACTTTTGTGCTCCAAAAACCTCCTCGTGCCCACACATTCTCTCCTCACCCTGAGCCTGAGGGCTTTCTGACTTTTTTGGTCTCTCCACCACAGCTTTCACAGTCTGTGCACTATCGATCTGGTGTTTAAAATGCTAATTCAGTCTAGAGGAAGTTTAGAGCCTATTCTTGGTGCTTCCAAGAGGGATCTAGGGCAAGTCAATTAACATCTCTTCACGTCAGCGTATGTCAACACTGTTGTCTTCTCAGGGACTGGAGCCCATGCAGACATTGCTGAGCTAGATTTAAGCTACAAAAGCAGTGCAGTCCATCTAAGTCAGTGTAGACTTCACTCCCATCAAGTAAGGACTCAGCTGCTTCCTGGGATTTGCAGTTTTGGCTCTGGTCCTTGCAGCAGCACCACAGCACAACACAGCACAGCTGGCTCTACACAGAGTCAGCAGAACCTGAACTGCTTTGCCCAAACATGTGCACACACAGGGCAGAGAGTAGTGATTAAATTCCCCTCAACTTTTTCATGTGAAAATAGGGTTGGAAATACACAGGACAAGTAACTTCCTGTAGCAGCAGAGAAAGGGACTGTTGGTATCTCTGGGTCGATGTCTAGTGCTTATTGTTGTAAAGATATGGATTATATACTTTCTGTTGATATAAATACATATGTTTTTACACCAGCAATTAAAAAAAAGCTCTCCCTAAAATACGGTGATGAAGTTTGTAACAAGTGTCCTCACTGGAACAACCTTAAAGTCTGTAATTGATTGACTGCAGAGAAGGAAATGTTTCGATCAGACAAGACCAAAGACAATAGGCAGCCTGAAATGGTAAACTTCACACCTCTCACTGATCTTGCAGGTGCTAAGTAAAGCATTTCCTTCAGCACTGCAGTGTATTGGGTTTTTGCTGTCACCTATCAATTTTGGGGTAGGATCTGTCAATCTGGGGTTTTATGAAGCTTTCTGCTTTATAGGTAATTACTAATACTTAAATCCTTAATGTGTTTTTCCCCAGAATGGTTTCTGTGAAGTACTTTCCTAATTAGTTAATTTGAACATTCCATAAGAAATCATATTCATCTCAGTAGTAATTTGTGTTCTATCCTGGTATCTTTGTTTAATCAACTTGAGCAGATTTGCTGTTGCTGCATATTTTACTTGGCTCCAAGTGTTAAAATAGCAAAATATTGACCAAGAGGAAATATAATTTAATATTTTCCTCTCTCCTGACTTTTTTTACTGACAGTGTCATATAACTGTGCCCTCTGATTCTTTCAGCTATGCTGACCAACAGCAGGGAAGGAGAACTCATTGACCAAGAAACTGGGACCAGCCTAAAAAAAATACCGAAGGAGAAAGGTAAAATTACAGACTGTTTCCCATTTCAGGCATTTAATTACAGTTACTGTGTATTTTTCCAGTGTTCTGCATATGCAATGACATTATATTATAAATTTAAGAGTACTAAGTGCATAATTGCAATGAATAATGTATCCAGTGAATTCACATGGACGTGTGAGCAATCAGAACTTTGCTTCCCTCTGTTTATATAGTATCAGGGTAATATTTTGTCGGTGTTTTGCCTCAATTATTTATGAAGTTCCTGGCAAATATTTGGTGAGTCACATGGTATTGTTTGTTTGCCTCCAGGGGATGTGTGTGCAGGCTGCTCTGATGCTCTAGGTGAGGGAAATAAGCCTTTTTTTGTGTCTAATAATACATTACCTCTCGAGTGAGAGGCAGCAAGGGAAGAGGTGGTGGTTGTGCTGTAGGCAGGGAAGTGCCTCCTCTGCTGGGTTTTCACTGCAGTGCTCCTTGGGCTCTGGAGGAGGTGAATGCACAGGTGTGTGCAGGTAAGCCCTGAGGAAGTGTTTTAGTGACTTGTGGCATCTGTGGCTGCACTTCAAGGAAGAAGAATCCATTTTGTTTCCTTGCAAATACAGCAGAAAATAAATATTAATAGGTGAGAGGTTTATCCTGGCAGTAGATGCAGATAGCAACAGACAAAAGGAGTGGCTGCAAAAAAAGCCCAGAAGATGGGATAGAGTTGAAGAAATAAAAGGTAATTTTAATTGAAGGTAAAAAACTGAAGGTAAATCAGTACTGGAAAAATACTGCGAAGGCTTATCTGAGGGAGATATTAAGGTTTCAGTGTGGATAAGATGTGAAGAGAAGAAAGAGGAGACAACATAAGCTAAATGTAAGTCTACTATGATTTTATCATAAGTGGAAACACAAACTGATTTATGTTTTGGTTGAGGTGATTTTCTTGTATTTTCAGAGAAAACTAAAAAAAACAGATATAGGCAATTGAATGAGCTGCTCAAAAGAGGATTTGGAGGCTCCACATGCCCTGAGTATATAAAATTATTTGAGCAGTTTCATGATTTTGCGCAATCAGCTCTGTTCCTTAGAGATCTGACACTGATCCAGTCATGGCTAGGAAGAGCCTGAAACTCCCTCCTTATATTTTGTATTTTCGTGCTCAACTCTCCTTGAAGGCAAAAGCTGTTTTCTATTCACTAGTTTCTCTAGGCATTTACGCACTTTCCTCATGAACCCCGAAAGAGCCCTTTTGTGCCATTCTGAGATAATTTTCTTTCTGGATCATCATGCTTAAATCCTTCCCTCTTGACTCCTGTTGACATTTCCAGACCATCACCAGAGGCTGCAGTTCTCAGCCATACCTAAGCTGAAAAAATCGCATCGTTGTAGTAATTACATAGTGAGTATTTAATCTAAATCTGAAAGTGTAGTTGATTTGAATTTTGTTGAACTGTGCATGGTTTCTTGCCACATGTTCAGTCATTTTTCAGCAGAACAATTCGATATCCTGTGGGGCTCAGAGATGCAAATGATGGAGTTGGTGGTGGTGGTAGCAGTCCTGTCACTCAGGATGGATGAAGGAAGGTACAGTTTAAGAATCCAGAAAGACAATTCAGAAATCTCCAAAAGCGTGAACATAATTTAACCCCCACCACCTGTGAACCCAATTCCCAGAGTCCTGTGGTCCTTGAGCATTCCTTGTAACAGGGATGAAATCACAAAGATCTGGTGCTAACAGTCTGTGTGCCATAATTCACCTAAAGATTAAAATTTTAAAGGTTTAGTCGTTTCCTGGTTTACATTTTTTTGCATAATATTACCTTTCTTTAATTGATTATCTACTGGGAAATATGTCTTTATACCTGTGTTAGTTCTGCATGCACTCGGAGGATATTTTTAGGATTAGTTTAGTGTCTAACGATTCACCTGCATCAGAAAAAGGTGCTTAAAAATCATGAGACATTTTCAATTATCATTTGAAAGATAGAATAAAGTTTGTGCATTTCTGCTTGGGCTGCATAGGTCAGGTTTCTCCTGGAAAACATGAGAACATGATGTTAATTGTTGTCAAGTTGTACTTTTCAAGTCATCTCACAGCTCCACAACCAAAGCCTTGTGATGACATTAGAGTGGGACAAAAGTTAAAATTTTAAAGGCATTGTATATGCAGCAATTCCAGGCTGTTTGACAGATGTATATTGCAGTTCCTGCAGGAAGCTCCTCTCTGGGATACACCCAGCAGTGATGAGCTGCACAAGTAGGACAGTCAGGTCTTTGCTTCTGGCAATCCTCAGCCAATTCTGTCCCCCCACACCCATGGGGTTGGTCCTCAGTGATTTGTCTCACTCCTGTGGAGGTTCTCTGTTCATAATACTGTTCTTGTTCTCTTGTGATAATTCCTTTGGGCTCTGGTGCACCAAAGTTGGGTTGAACGTTTTTCAGAGTCCGACGTGGACAGTCACCAAAGACTGTGATCTGTGCAGCTCTGCAAAAAATACTCAAGTAATTTGTATACAGAGCCAGCTTTGTTTTCCAGAACCTGCCATTACTTTGACTAAGGCAAAATATATTTACCATGGAAAAGATTTTCGAAGTTATTAAGAAGGAATGTAGTTAAAATAAAAGTATCAACATTTATTAAGTATGACAAGTAAGCGGTTTATACAACCGTGGCAAACATATGTTTTCACATCTGTTTTGAGTAATATCATCATGATTTTAAAAATGATTTATAGCTCTGCAGGCCATAAAATGCCAGCTTTGCTGTAAGTTGGAAGTTTTCAAACAACAAAGAAATTATTGAAGGCATCTATTGAATGTGGTTTTGTGTTATACACCTTGACATAACTTTACAAACCTGAGCTCTCTCTTAACAATTAAGACAGCAACAACTGAAAATTAAGTCACTAAAATTTATCAGTGGTACTACTTCTGTGAAATCTTAGCATCAAAAAATGATGGAAGTTATTGTAATGATTATAGGCAAATGCTGTGATACCCCTCAGGATACACAGTTTTTGTTTCCCACGTCCCAGTTTGAGTCATCTCAGCCCCAGACAAAAATGCGCCACTTTGTTCTCATCAAAAGAATTTCAAGGTAATTAGGGCTGAAGAGAACATTCCTCAACAACAGTTCTTTAAAAGTCAGCTGACACGAGGTTGCTCCAGTTGTGGTGATCTGTTTGCATGTGCTGGTGGGGCAGAATTTGTGGCAGTCTCAGTGCAGAGGGGTGAGAGCCCAGTTACAGCCCTACCTTTAATTTTTCTGAAGGAGAAATACCATTAAATCTCAATTACTCCACACCCTTTCGTCATCTTTTTAGGAAGTATGGTCAAGCTTAACGTTAGAGGACAACAAAGTCAAACATCTTTGTAAGACTGCAGTTGTTTGGTGGGAATTTTTATATAAAATTTACCATGTTATATTCTTTGTCAAATGTCTTTAATCATTATGTCCCACCAGCATTCTGCCTGTGCAGCCATGTCAGAGTGTGAGTGAAAACCACACTGAATAATCTGCACTGTATTTTGACATCACTAGTGCAAGGAAACAGTTACAGAATTCCCCCCAGGACACAGCCCCACGTTTTACCTGCACAATTACCCACTGAAACTCCATTTTAAATTCATCTACTTCAGTATATATCCTGGAAAAAATCTCTATTGTATGGGAACGGATTGTGTTTGACACAGCCTTGTGTAGGCTTTGCAGAAACTTCCATATGAATTCTGGCACTGGGAAGGTGAAATGAGCCAGAAAAGAATTTGGCCATGCCTTCCAGCCGGATTTTAGTGCTGGTACAATTATTCTGTTTGACTGCATGACAAGAGAGATTTCAAACTCCTCACACAGGCCAGAGAAATAAAAGGCACTGGCCCAGCTCTTGCCACAGTGAAATCAATGGGTTTGTTCATGATGTCTTCAATGGGAACAGTTTGGGCAAAGCCTGATCTTTTGGCAGGTTCTTTCCCCAGTTAATACTGTTGGTTATTATCCAGATGTGGATAACATGTTCACATGGATGTTTGGGGTGAACCAGAGTAAAATTTCATAGGAAAAATTCATAAACAACCAGTGTCTTCAGACCTACCCAGAATTCAAGCAGACTTTGAGTAGAAATGAAGATTATATTTGCCACAAAAGTGACTTGCTCTGCATTGCCCAGAGCTGCTCAGCAGTGATGCTCCTCCTTTAGCCCAGTTGTCTGGCCCTGAACCCCAGTCTGGGCTCTGGGGCTGTGCCTCACTGTGTTTCCAGCAGATTGTAGCCTCCAAACTCTGCATCTGGCAGCTATCCCTTCTCAATTTGTTAAAGAACACCTTTCCCTTTATTGCCCCAAGGAAATGGGAATTTTGCATCATTTCTGTCAGCCGAGTGAAATATTTTCAGATGGCCAGAGACTATGGTAATGAAAGAATAAGCATATTTGTTTCTTGTATTTCATTAGTGGCAAAGAGGTTTTCTGCTGTTTAAAATTAATCATTGCCAAAGGACTGGGTTAGTTGGGATGTGAGGGGAGGGGAATGAGCAGGTGCAGAACACCTGAAACAGCAACAGGCCTGGTGATGGGGGCTGTCCTCCAGAGAGAGGACTTTTCCAACAATTAGTCTGAAAGCATCCAGATGGAGAGGGAAAGGAATAAGACAGAGAACTAGGAGCATGAAGCTGTACCACGCAATGTCTATGCAAAGTGTATGAGAGGTGCCAACACTTCAAGTGTTCTCCATGCTGTTTCTTTGACGTATCAATACTTGCACAAAAGCAGTTTTCCTTGCAAATGTGTTCATGAATTCTCCTCTTGAGATATGTGAAAAACTTCCCAGATTAGAAGGGAAGTCATGTTCATTCTGGTTTTTGAGTGTACTGGAGACCCCAAAGTCATTTCATCAGCAGTGGATGCAGTAATGAGTTTAAGGGTTGCAAAGGGTTTCTCCTTCCAAACCCTTAAGTGACATGCCCAGTGCAAATGTTCACTGGAAAATTCAGTTATATTTTTTCATTTTCTGTCCTCTAAGAATACTGAAAGACAAGA